ATTACCTCTTTAATTTCCTTAGTTGTTATTTGTCTGTTCAAATTTTCTATCTCTTCCCGGTCCAGTTTTGGGAGACTGTGTGTTTCTAGAATATTGTCCATTTGGTTTAGATTGTCGAATTTGTTGCCGTATAGTTATTCATAGTAGCTGTTAACGATCTTTTGTATTTCTGTGGTGTTGGTTGTTAATTCTCCTCTTTCATTTCTGATTTTGTGTATTTGGGTTCTCTCTCTTTGTTTCTTGGTGAGTCTTGCTAAGGGTCCATCAAACTTGTTTATCTTTTCGAAAAAACAGTGCTTTGTTTCATTGATCCTATGAATTGTTTTTTTGGTCTCTATGTCATTTATTTCTGCTCTGATCTTTACTATTTCCTTTCTTTTACTTGCTCAGGGGTTTTCTTTCTCTTTGCTTTCTAATTCTTTAATTTGTGAGGTGAGACAGTCAATTAGAAATTTTTCTTGTTTCTCGAGGTAGGCCTGAAGTGCTAGGAACTTCCCTCTCAGAACTGCTTTTGCTGCATCCCAGAGATTATGTGTTGTTGTGTGTTCATTTTCATTGGTTTCTAGGAAGTTTTTCATTTCTTCCTTGATCTCCTCAGTTACCCATTCATTGTTTAATAACATGCTATTTAGCCTCGATTTGTTGAAATGTTTTTTCATGTTCTTATTTCAATTGATTTCTAGTTTCATGCCATTGTGATCTGAGATGATTGATATGATTTCAATCTTCTTGAACTTGTAGAGACTTAGTTTGTGTCCTGTCATATGGTCTGTCTTTGAGAATGTCCCATGTGCACTTGAGAAGAATGTGAATTCTGAAGTTGCGGGGTTTAATTCTCTGTAGATATCTATTAAATCCATTTTGTCTAGTGCTTCATTTAGAGTCTCTGTTTCCTTGCTAATTTTTTGTCTAGAGGATCTATCCAGTGGTGGCAGCGGGGTGTTGAAGTCGCCTGCTATGATTGTATTGCTATCAATTTCACCTTTGAAGTCCTCCAGAAGATTTTTAATATATTTTGGTGCTCCTATATTGGGTGCATATATGTTTATCAAGGTTATATCTTCGTGCTGGATGGATTCTTTCAATATTATGTAGTGGCCTTCTTTGTCTCTAGTTATGGCTTTCATTTTGAAATCTATTTTATCAGATATGAATATTGCTATCCCATGTTTTTTTTTGCTTTCCATTTGCTTGGAAAATTTTTTTCCATCCCTTTACTTTCAACTCACGTGAGTCTTTTGTTGTGAGGTGGGTCTCTTGTAAACAACATGTAAATGAGTCATGCTTTCTTATCCAGTCAGCTACTCTGTGTTTTTTTATCAGAACATTCAATCCATTTACATTTAATGTGATTATTGATATATAGTTATTTATTGCCATATATTTTTTTAGTGTGGTTATATTTTTCTTCCCATTTCTTCTACTAATTACATTAGTCTTTTTAACATTTCCTGTAGTGCTGGTTTGGTGCTCATGTATTCCCTTAGCCTTTTTTTTGTCTGGGAAGCTCTTTATTTGACCTTCTATTTTGAGTGATAGCCTTGCTGGGTAGAGTAGTCTTGGATTCAGATCCTTGTTTTTCATGACCTTGATTACTTCATGCCATTCCCTTCTGGCCTGTAGTGTTTGTTGTGAGAAGTCAGCTGAGAGCCTTATGGGGTTTCCTTTGTTGGTAACCTGTTGCTTATCTTTTGTTGCTTTTAGGATTCTCTCTTTGTCTTTAATTTTTCACATTTTAATTATTATGTGTCTTGGTGTAGGCCTGTTGGGTCTTCTTACTTGGGACTCTCTGTTCTTGAACTTCAATGTCTTCTTTCTTCACAAATTAGGGAACTTTTCTGTCACTATCTTTTTGAATATTTTCTTTATCCCTTGCTCATTTTTTTCTTCCTCGGTGACTCCTATGATGCAAATATTATTGCGTTTGCAGTTGTCCCACAGTTCTCTTAAGCTGTCTTCCTGTTTTTTAATCGTTTTTTCCTTTTGGTTTTCTGATCAGTTGATTTTTTCTACCCTGTCTTCAAATTCACTGATCCGATCCTCAGCTTTTGTTGAGCTTCCTCAAGATTATGGCTCTGAATTCTAGCTCTCCTAACACGCCTAACTGCTCCACATTGATCTCATCTTCAGTGGAGGTCTCTTGCTCTTTTATTTGGCTTCTGTTTCTGTGTTTCACCATTTTGTCTATCACAGTGGGCTTTGGAGCTTGCCAAGTTTTTCCTGTGGGTGTTGGTGTTCTGCTGTTTATGGCTCCCTCTCTTGGGTTTAAATGAGCGAGGGAGCACCCACGTTAAACACTACCGTCAAGCCTACTCTCCTGGTTAAAGCTGCTAGCCCATGAAAGGTACTGTTATCCTCTAGCTTTTTGCCTGGAGGCTAGCAGTCAAGGTTACTTGATGAGTTTTGGGTTGTCAGTTGATTGAAAAACTCCCTCAGTTGCTCAACTTAAGGGGATTTTATGAGGGTGGGGCAGATGCTGGTTGTTAATGAGCATCAGTTAGCACTTCAATGGCCCACAAGGTGGAGTTGAATCCTGAGGGAGGGGCTGCTGCCTCTCCCCAGAGCCCTGGGAAGGAGCAATATGGCCACTGTCCTGTGTGGCAGCAACTCAGCAAAAGCTCTGAGTGCCCTCCCAATCCTGAGTGTCCTGACACAGTTCCAGTCCAGTCTGCCCTCCCTCTGCTGGAGCCCAAGGTGAGTGGCTGTGGCTTTCATAGCCTCTGTTCCGGCTCTGTGCTGTGGAGCCGCTTGTGAGTGTAACCTGAGGGTGCTGCTCCCAGCTAAGGCCGTTGCCAAGCTGCTGACCGTGGGCTCCCAGCCCCCATCTCGCACCTTCGCAAGCCAACCAGGATCGAGTCAGTGTCCCTGGTTATATGGTCCTCGCAAGCTGCTTCTCTGTTTATTTTTCCCATGTGTTATATGTGTTATAGTTGTAATTCCAGTTTGGTTCTGGGAGATGGTCTGTGTAGCTTCCGTTCACTCTGCCACCATTTTGGAATCTCTTTTGGTTTTTTGATTGGTTGATTTTTTCTACCTTGGCTACTAATTCACTGATCCAATCCTCAGCTTCTTCCACTCTGCTGTTTAGTCCTTCCAATGTGTTCTTTATTTCTGCTATGTCATTGTTCATTTTTTTCTGGGTGGTTTTTAATTTCCAATTGGCTGATTTTCAATGTTTCTATGAATTTACTCTTCGTGATGGTGTCCTTACACATGCTGTTGAGCTTCCTCAAGGTCATGGCTCTGAATTCTAGCTCTGTTAACTTGCTTAACTGTGTTTCATTTATCTCATCTTCAGTAGAGGTCTCTTGTTCTTTCATTTGGGATGTTTTTCTATGTTTCACCATTTTGGCTATCTCAGTGTGTTTTGGAGCCTGCCAAATTTTCCCTGTGGGTGTTGGTGTTCTGCTGTTTTAGGCTCCCTCTACTGGGTTTGGTTGAGTGTGAGAGGACCCACTTTAAACATCACTGTCAAGTCTTACTTTCCTGGGTAGAGTTGCAAGCCTAGAAATGGTCCAGTTATCTTCTAGATTTTTGCCTAGAGGCTATTAGTAGAGGTTACTTGAAGAGCCTTGGTTTCTCAGTTGAATGAAAAACTCCCTCAGGTGTTCAGCCTAAGGGGATTTCCAGATGGTGGGGCAGATGCTGATTGTTAATGAGTCATAATTTGCATTTCAATGCCCCACCAGGTGGGGTGGAATCTCTGAGGAAGTGGCTGTTGCCTCTCCCTGGAGCCCTGGGAAGGAGTAAGATGACAACCTTCCTTCCTGGCCACAACTGAGGAAAAGCTCTGAGTGTCCTCCAAATCTCGAGTGTCCCCACACAGTTTCAGTCCAGTTGCCCTCCCTCTGCCAGAGCCCCAGGTGAGTGGCTGCGGCTATTTTAGTGCTCTGTCCCGGATCTGCGCTGTAGAGCTGCTTGGAATTTTAACCCGAGGGCACTACTCACAGGTTAGACAGCTGCTGTCCATGGGTTCCCAGCCCACATTTCACACCTCGGCAATCCTACCAGGATCGGATCAGTGTCCCTGGTTATATGGTCCTCACAAGCTGTTTTTCTGTTGCTTTTTCCTAATGATTTGTCTTATTTTAATAGTAATTCCAGTTTGGCCTGGGAGATGGTCTGTGTAGCTTCCATTCGTTCCGCGGGCCCTTTGGAATTCTCTTGTGATAGTTTTGGATCTCTGATACTGTCTTTGTGCTAACTCTAATAGTTCACACTCAATCTTACTGAATGTCTGCAATTAGTCTTTTTAAAAGACCAGTTTTTGCTGACTTGCTCAATTTTTTGTGTCATTAACATCTCATTGATTTTTGCTTTTTAATATTTATTATTTGCATTTTCTATTTTATTATCAGTTTAGTATTTTTCTGGCTCCTCAGGTTCAGTGCTTAGTTTATACTTTTTTATCTTTCTGGTTTTTGCATGTGTTTGTATGCAACTAGTGTATGTATATGCAATATAAATATGTGTGTTTGTGTGTGTGTTTTTTTTTTCAAACTGTGCAGTGATGTGTGAAAATCTTTGTTATTGGGTTTTTAATATTATCACACAATGGTAGAATGAGGTCCCCATAATATGTATTTTTGGATCTTTATGATATGTCTCATATTTCCACATAGACAAACCAAGTAAAGAAATATAAACAGCATCATTCTTCGTAGTGTTAGTTAACTTTTACAATTCAAAATTCAGTTAAACTTTATAATTCAGAACCCTAATAATTTCTGTTTTTCATTGCTTTGGAAAGGCAATGCAGAGCAGTGATTAAGAACTCAGATTCCAGAGCAAGTCCAGTTGAGTTCAAATCCTGCTATGTCCACCTACTAACTGTGTGACTTTGGGCTTATGAGTCATGAGCTAAAAAATCCATTAGCTTTCTCCACTCATTTTTACTCACCTATCATTTTAATTTAAATTCTCTTCTCTATTATAAAGGACCCAAAGATGCAGCTTATTTGTTTTTATTTTTATTTAAATACAAAAGGTTAAATATGTGTGCCAAACTAGTAAAGTTGCTTCTCAAAGTTGATAAATGAGGCAGGACTGCCAGTCATTTTCTGAAGAAGAAAAAAACACAAGGTGAAGATAGTAATTCCCAGAAGCCTTCAATCCAGCTATTATCATATTTGCTTATTCATCCTTTTCCATGTGTTTTTGCCACTTCTCTTGGCTTCTAACTGTGACCCTTGTAGAATATTCACAGAAAGTACTCAGGGTGATCTTTGTAACATCTGATTAGATGATCTCACGTCTCTGTTCAAAAGCACTCAAAGGTTTCCTATGTACTCAGGATAAACATTTTAGAATATTTACCCTGTAATCACCAAGGTCCATGTGATAAGGCTTTTCCCCGTTTTCATGAATTTGTCTTTGGCATTTTCCCCACTCTCATTCTCCTCCTGCCCCCTGCCTTTGGCAAACAAGCTGAGCACCTTTCTGCTCAGGGCATCTCTGCTGGCTGGTCCCTGTGCTGGAACAGTCTTTCTGCACAGACACACAAGGCTCAGTGGCCCACTCTGTCTACGCTGTGTTCTATTTCATTATTTTATCACTTCAAGGAAGTCTTTCCTGAATAATCTATCTGTTTTGGTACAACCTCCATCTTTTTAATTTTCTTTAGTTTCGTCTTAGCTCTTATCACTCTCCGACATATATTTACATATGTACTTAGAATCTGTCTCCACTCACTAGAGTGTGAGCTTTCTGAGAGCAAGGACTTTATTTATTTTGTACACTAGTATATCCCAAGATTCTAAACAGATCTTAGAACATAGTAAGCACTTGATAAATATTAGTCAAATAGCTCAATTCCTAAATGTGGATCTATAGGACTAATTAGGCAGTAATAGCTATTCTGATGAAGGAGCTACACAATTATGCAACCAGGGAGTCACAAGCCAGGGGTAGAAGATAGTAGATAAAGATTTCAAGTATTGAGATAAACTTTACTATAAAATATAATTTTAATTATGCAGCTGAGAGGGAACTTGATAATATACTTCTAGTACAGTGTGATATAAAGCTGTTATAAATGAGGAAAATAATTATTGGAACTAAACTCGGTGGGACCATTGTCAATATATTTATTTTTTAAGATGTGTGTCAACATGGGTGTTTGAAGGGATTTCTGAGCAGTAAGTAAGGATCTGAGAGAAGACACTGAGTATTCTGTGATCTACACTGTGAGGACAGTCAGAGAGCCAGAGTATGCCTCAACACAAAAACTGCAGTCCAAGATAACGTTTATACTGTCTGGTAATGGGAGCTCAGTGTCAGCAATGTGACATCTGCCCTCAAGGGATCGATGAACTGCTTCCTTCACAGTCATCTGTTTTGTTGTCTGTTTTTTTCAGAATCTGAGACAATGTTAGATAATGTGTGTGTGTGTGTGTGTGTGTGTGTGTGTAAGAGAGAGAATAATGGAAGCATGAGTACATTTCGTTTTATTAATTGTTACCCTGTGTCCTTCATTGTTTATTACTTCTTGTGTTAGCCTGGTTTATCTCCTTGATTGGCTGACTGACTGATTTATTGATTGTGGATCCAGATTCATATAAGTAGAGCAAAAAATAACATCTAATCATCAAATACATCAACAAGCAACATAAATTTGACCACTCAAGCAATTGGTTGCCATTGGTCATTGGACCTCACCACTAATATTACTTTCCCGTAATATTGCCAAAAGCTCTGATACGTACCTTTTCAGTTGCCAGGAAATAGGTAGAAATATCTTGACAGGGATACTCGTTCAGTGGTGGGCATCTGGGCTCTAACATGTGGTGTTTCAAATGATAGTTGTACCTAGAAACAAAAAGAGCATCTGATGAAACATAACTCTGATTCACTCTCAGAAAACATTTTGTACCATGAGCCAAAAAATTCTGGGAATGAAGGGTATGCCTAGAGCTGATGGGATGAAGCCCATGGATATTCTAACCACCTGTCACTGCTACCCAACCTTTTAGAAGTAATGCCCCATGTCAGAATATATACAGTCTTTATTTCAACACCTCATGCCTAACTCAAAGTCTTTCAAAGTTCATTTCTTCTATTTTCTGTTCCTGATCTACAGATATAAACTGATCTATGAGGGTCAGTTCATAACAATGGGATCTCAAAGATTCTCTATCTTTAACCTCCAAGTCTAATTCCTTAATTCTGTAAGGCACAAAACAAAATTTTATCCCTCAGACTTGAACACAACAACTTTCACATTCCCACTACCAAGCTGACCTCTGAAGTTTTTTTGCCACTGACAGATAAATGAGATTGTATTGATTCTGTTGATAGTTATTAAGAATAAGAAAGGAGCAAAGGAAGAAGGCCAGACATTATAGGCATATCATTTGGGCAGCTTCACCAGGAAGCTGCAATGTCACACTCCACAGGGAACCACTGGCCCATTCCCTGCAGAGCACTGGGTGGGGGATCCAACAAACAGGAGATGAACATATGTATAATGAGCTGGAGTGACACAGAAAAAGTGCCTGTCATTCAAGCTAGGGGAACAATGGATTAACTACAGTAGGCCGGGCCTTTGCAGACCCATGAAAATTTGGGAATACCTAGTCCTGCAGATAAAGGAGCTCGCACTCTTGCATGGCCATCTTGGCTCTCTGGTTCCTTTGGCTTTGCTCCTGTCCCTGTTCTCTCCATGACCCATGGCCATACGAACCCCACATGCAATGGACTGACGGACTCAAGCAGGGAACACAAGTTCAGTTAGCCTGATGCTGTATTAGACTGTGGAGACATAGAACAGAAATTATGGACACTGGCTTTGATTTTAGCTCTGCTGAAAACAAAATGGGACTTCTTTTTTGGTAGGACAAAGAGAAATGGGACCTTGAAACTGAGGGGCGTAATTCCACAGAAATAAAGCTTTCTACAATATCTCATCCTTCTATGAAAGTCTCTGAAAATACCTTTTCACAAAATATTGCAGCAACTGTTGAAGATGAGGACCTCTCCCCAACAATAATACTATTTCTAGACTTATCCTAGAAAGTAAAATATCTCATTCCTATTCATCCAACAGAATTTAGTTTTCTAAATTCTCATTCACAGAGACCCTAACTCATGTTACAATGCAATCTTCTTGCATTTATTAAAGGTATATTCTTCTTTTCCTACAGGAGTGCTGCTGCTCTCTGTAGTTTAAACATAAAAACAACCACACTTTCCCATATTCTTAATACCAACACCTTTCTCCCTTAAGAAAATGACAAAAAGGAATATCTGTTCATTTATTCATGAATGTGCTTATTAAATGAATAGTACTTTCTAAGTGCCAGCATGTTGAGGTATCGAGCAAATTCTTGCCTTCATATGAGTGAATGCAGATAAAAATCAAACAAAATATATAACAAACAAGTGGTGGTCAAACTGTGGAGAAAAACAAGTTAGGAGGGATGAGGCCTATCTTAAGTGGGGAAATAAATATCTTTTTTTCTGGACCACTCCACTCAAAAAATGTCTTCTCCTGTGTTTTCCTTTATGTGCCTTTGATCTTTTTTAACCCTCCCGCAGTCTGTAATGACAGATATGTTTGTTGGCCAACTTGTTTAGGATCCATCTCTCCCACAACAATGTAGGCCTTGGCAGCCTATGACACAGTGTCGCTTCTAACCTGTGTCACCAGGATAGCAACAATCACCAAGTAGAAAACTCAATATACATTTATTTAATAAATTGAACAATACAAATGAATTCAAAGTACTTTCCATTCTTTTAATTTTAAGAATTTATAGCCCAGAACAAGTAAGCTCACATGTTATATTATTTTTTCTATTTTCATCTTCTGAGGTAGTATATTGACATCTTCCTTTTCTAAATCATATTTTAAACCCCTGGGTAACAGAAACCGGGAACTGCTCTACTTTTGTTTGCCTGAAAAAGTCTGTCATTGTCACTTGAAATAAGAATAATAGTAAAGTCTTCCTGAACTAAAAAAAATATATATATATATATGTTGTTAGAAAAGGAAAAAGAAGCTTACCTTTCAAAATACTTCCTCTAGGTGACAATGCCAAGAGTATTTTTGGAAGCATGTGATTAGTTGTGTAATGAAGAGAGAACCCTTAGTTCTGTCTCTCCAGGATACATTATCTGTGAAGATAAGGAGTGTAAGCCTTGGGCTGTGGCCTTAACTATTCTTTTATTATACTTTTGTTGTATATGTATATATAAAGCAGAGCTTGGGAATTAACTTGACATGTTTAGGGGAAACACTTATATCTCTAAATGTTCCACAAAGGTCTAACTATAGGGATAACTCATCAGAATTACATAATGATCATATTATATTCTTGGAACTAATTTTGCTACATGCCTCAGGTTTACTCACTTGGCTTTGATAAAAGACTTGAGAGATAACAGGAATTATCCCATTTTACAGAAGAAAGAATAAACACTCAGGGAATTCCAAGAATTTCTCCAAGCTCATAGAGTAAGCAACAAAACTTGGCCACCTGGTCCCAAGGTTGTTACAGAGTATATATCATACTGCCTTTCACAATATAATAAACAAAGCAGATGAACAAATTCAAAGGCAACTTTCAGGGGAGGGATAGGTTTATGGCATTAATTGTGGTGACGGTTTTACAGTTTCATATTCATATGCAAACTCACATTATATACATTAAGTATATACCTTCTTGTATATCAATTTAACCTCCATGAAGTGGTTAAAAAAAAAAAAAAAAGACTTAACACAAAAATTTGCTAATTAGAAAAAATCAAATGTAAGTTTTCTTAAGATACTACCTAAAGGTCAAGAAGTAAACACTTATCTCCTATTATTAAGCCTAATATGTCTCATCATATCATTTTCTACCTCTTTTAAAGGACATCTGCATCCTGCTGAACCACGCAATGCACCACTCTAAATAGCATCACGTGTAAATATGCAGCAAAAGGCTTGAACTTGATTATTTAAGAAAGAACAGCCAGTCCGGGATCCATAAAAATTCTATTCAAAATGTTAAGCAGATTTGATAGAAAATTGAGTCAATTATTTGTTAATAAATGGTGTATGGTAAACAGGGTTTCCTGTATTGGATTGTTTTAATGTTTGGTATATATTTGTCAAGTGAAGCACTTAGAATAAAAGTACAATTTTAAAGAAAGGAAAAAAATGTAAAATATCTGTTTCCATAGAGTAAATGAGATAAATGTAAATTATTTTGACAGCACTCAAAACGTTTCTCAGACCACTGCTGCATAGAGCCTATCTTAATGTTCTAGAATCATTCAGAGCTGGCCTCAGGCCCACACACCCTCGTCTGTAACTGAAAGACACCTACGCGGGGTTGAGGAGCAGAAAGCAATGAAGTCCTTCTCCACGTGAGCTTTGTAAACAGCATCGTCCTCCAAGATCTCAGGTGACTGTGAAGAGTTGTCTGCCATGGGTGCTGGAGAGTCACTGACCCACAGTTCCCCGCGATTTGCTGTAGAGACATTAACTTTGTACACACTGTGTACCTCCCTCAGGATGACTGTCACAGTTGCCCGCCTCATTCTTTTTAAATGTTTATTCTAACCAGTTCCACACACAGACACACACACACGCACACTCACCGTAAGCCCCTTCCCCCACAAACATAACTCGGCCTCTCTCTAATGTCTTTGAACAATGTGCCAATTAATAGTGACAGCATCTTATCAGTAAATAGTAACAGTGTTGTAACACTAAAAGACCCTTTGCAAAGAAGAGCATAGGAGTTAAAGTCTTATATGCATAATTTCTCAGCCTAGTTACGATTTTTTAGCTAAGTTACTTTTGCTTTTTCTCTCAAACACTGCTCCAACAACCTAAGAGGCAAATGGAAGTCAGAAGAAAAAGTCAAAGGAAATTTTGACAGCAGTCCTAAGTACCCTCATCTCCCTCCTTATTTCTCCTTCAATAATGCATGAGGAGCCCAGGCCGGTTTGGCTCAGCGGCTAGAGCGTCGACCTACGATCCAGAGAGTCCCAGTTTTGGTTCCCGCTGAGGGCTCGTACCTTGGTTACAGTTTTTCTCCAGCCCTGGTTAGGTTGTGTGTGTGGCAACCACTTGATGTGTCCCTTCCACTTCGATGTTTCTCTTTCTCTCTCACTCTCACTCTATCTGAACAAAAAAGAAAAAAATGTCCTTGAGTGAGGATTAAAAAAATAATAATAATAATGATAATGCATGAGGAAAAACAGGGTGCCACTATTGCAGAACAGCCCCACTTTAGATGAAAGTCTCCTCAACCAGAGAATGTCAAAATATCTGTAAAGCATTGTCAAGTAAAGCTGTCATTAAAGTGATTTTACTTCAAAGTTTAAATATTCTTGTTCAACTTCAATTTAGAAATTCTGAAAACTCCTTCACTACTTACCTTGTTTTTAATCAGATGAATATTTCTTATCTAAAAGATAATTTCTCACAATACCAACCCTGTACCTGGAGTTTCTCGAGAATCCAATTCACTATTTGCACTGAATGGGGTCTAAGATTGTTTCCCCTAAAAACAAAAACATGTCACAATCCTTGGCAAACACATGCCCTTTGGATTTTTCACGTCGGAACTCACCACCTCGGCAGGCCTGGACAATGATGACCTTTGGCTTGTCCTTGAGACTGAGGCAATTTCGGTTGTTGAATATCCGGAAGATGGTGTCATAAGGTAGCACATCTGGCTTCTCATCACTATGCTGAGTCCCACAGATTCCATCCAAGATGCCATGAGACATAAACACTAGGAATGTGCTGTCTGAGGACCTGTGCTCTGGGCGAGCAGCAAATGCCTCCAGCACTGACTCCATGTCCTGAAAAAGACCACAAAGTCTTACTTTAATAGGACCAAGACTGACATTAATCAGACCTCCTATTTATCATGAGCAGTACAAGTAACATGTGTCATGTTCCAATCACTGAGCCTTCCTGTCGTGGTTGCTCGATTCTGGCCGTTGCCTTCTCCTTCCCTCAGCAGAGCAGGGGCTTCCGTCGGCTCCTGCTGACACTGCCGAACCACCTCTTGTATATTTCACAACTGCTTATTTGAACTTACATACTTTTCTATATAGCTCTGTCTTTTATCTCAGTACTTAATAGGAGCCTTCAAAAACCCTTCTTACTGTGCTTAGAATAAAACTCCTGACATATGTATACGGTCTCTTCCCTCCTCCCTCCCTGTGGGCTCTAGTCACACTGGTCTCTCTGTATTTCCCATGTGCCCGCTTCATATTCAGTTCAGGTCTTTCATCTGCAGTCATCACTCTTGGAATGTATTTTATTCACCTATTTCCAGACTTGTCTTGTTACTGGCAGTCATCTGTCAGCTCCTCTGTCCCTAACAAGGCTTTTCTTGACCATTCCATCAAAACAATTACTCCACACTCACCAATTTGCTCTTATGTTTTCTTTTACTTGTTTCACTTTCTTTTCACTCTTACTGAGAGGCACAAAGACACACCATATCTCTGAAATTTCTGTTTTGCTTTTAATGTGATTGTCCTTGCTCCCCCCACCAGCAAATCTAAATCAATGCCAGCTTGGAACATCCAGTCTCATTCACAGTCCTACCCCCAGTGCCAAAAATAGGCCCTGGGACAAACCAGGACTCAGTATTTATATGGCGAGTACATGCTTTGAAAACATTCATTACATTAGAATTTTCTGGGAATATTGGGTCTGAATCCTAATCATCTTTGAAACTAAAAATTGTGTGGGTATACATGCCATCACTTTTTGTCCAGTTTTATGGAATTGAGGACATTTGGAGCTCAAAAAAGACTGATTTCACCTATCTGATCATTTCATTTTATAAACACACACACACACACACACACACACACACACACACACACACGTGGCCTAAGGTTGAAAGTATTCGGCTAACATTACAAAATTAATTTGTTGGGAGGAGGACGTGTGTCAAACACGACCATGTTTGGGGTGGGGCACACCTTGGCTGTGAGCTTCTCTTCCACAGTCACATTGTAGTCAAGGCCCACAAGCAGCTCCGTCATCCTTGTGATGTCAAGCTCAGCTCCCTCCCTGGCCGGAAGGTGATCAAACTCTCTGTTGCAAATGATGAGAGCCAGGCGAGTGCGGCCCATTCTGTCCTTTATTGGATAGATCTGCAGGAAATGGACACTCAGTGAGTTTGATTTGCCTAAATATCTTTCAAACCTTCATATACTAGTCACTGTTGCTTTGTTACAGGCTCATAGCGCTGCCCTCTCCCCTCTCCTGTGCCAGAGATCCTGCCTTTTTCTTTGTAATGGAGTGAATGGACACGAGAAGGAAGTGAGAATTGAAAGTGATCGAGGACCTTCAGTTTATTTTTAAAAAATACTCTGAAGAAAAAAAAGAAAAGAAAGAATGTGATTTATTTTCAAGACCCCAGGACTAGACCCAGAACATACTTGCTCAAGAATCTTGAGACTAAAACACTTTCTTCCCTAATGTTCTCTTTTCTCTTCTTGGCC